AATACTATCACTTCTGTAATCGTTATATTTCTATTGCTATGATAAATCACAATGAACAGAGCAATGTACAGAAAGAAGGATTTATCTGGGGATCTCTATTCCCAAAGGATATGATCAGCATCATTGCATGGAAGCATGGCTAGAAACACCATACACCGCAGCAGGAATTGCTCACATCCTGAAGTGCAAACAGAAAACAAACAGCAGTGACATGCTTCCTTTATCAAGGCCATAAACCCTAAGCTTTACAAAGCACTGTGACCAACCAGGGACCAATCATATAGTTGCCAATGCATATAGAAGTTATCACATTCAAATCATGATAGCATCCTAATGATTTCTTATATAAACATTGCTAAATATGTCTTACTGTTTTTATTAAAAATATTTTTACTTTTTAAAAATTGGAATATTAGTTATATGAGGTTGCTACATCATATGACAATGTGAATACTACCTGGTTTTTCAAAATTAAATATAATTACCTATTTTGAGTTAAATTATGATTTAGTGACTGAAACTCATTCTGCAAACAATTGCTTCTTAATAATTTGTTTTAATTTTATTTTAGAAAATCACAAAGATAAGAGAAATAGCTATCTAATAACCCTAATGAGTTTTCAACTAATAATCTTTACGGCCACTGAAGTGTTCTGTTCTTACTACAAATAAGACTATTAGCCGGGCAATGGTGGTGTACACCTTTAATCCCAGTGCTTGGGAGGCAGAGGCAGGCGGATTTCTGAGTTCGAGGCCAGCCTGGTCTACAGAGTGAGTTCCAGGACAGCCAGGGCTATACAGAGAAACCATGTCTCGAACAAAAAAAAAAAAAACAATAAACAAAAAACAAAGACTATTAGTCTACCTGCTGAAGACATGGAAATGATATTTGTAGCCACTTCTAGTTTTATGATAGCTTTGCATATTATAATTTGTAGACATAATTTCCATGAGTTATCATTGTTGAAAAGTCACTTAATTCACTTGCAATATTGATTTTGATATGAAATATTCCTTACTCTTGCTACATCGTTCAACTTTCCTGAAGTGCAGGCTGTACTTTTTGGTGTATGTTTGCAGTCATGCTAAGTGCCCCAATGACTCAAGCTGCCATTGTGGCATCAGGTCTGTTCCAGAGAGAGCTATGCTGTGAAGGCATCAGTTCTTTTCTCTGTAGTTTGACCCTAGGGATGCCTGACATCTGTTTTTGTCTCTAAGCCTTTTGTTGCTAGGTTTTATGTGAGCCTTCATAATCTAGGTTACACTTGGAGCTGTAGACTTTCTAGATAGCTTTGTTAGCATTTGCATTTCAAGAATAGAGAGATTCTCTGGAGCTTCTCAGTATTGATGGTCATGTGAGATGCTCCCAGAATATACAGGAGGTCTATCATTATAGCTGGATAAGTATCATAATTATCCAGATAACCCTTTATATAACTGTGTGTTTTTCTTTATTGTGCTTATTGTTAGAAGAATAGCTTTTTAGGAAAAAAAAAGGAAAAAACCATGTATTTGTAAACAAGTGTCTGATTTTCAATGTCCACTCAGTGCTTGGCAAATCTTGAAAAAATTCTGATCTGGTATGTCTCCTTTCAATGTTGATTTCATGATATTTTTATTCCTAGAGTAGAGGCATGGTGTCATCCCAGACTGGTTATGTGGCCTTTCAGAATTCAGTCATTTTACATCTGCATAAGGAGGAGACATTAAAATAGACATTTTCTGTGAAAGTGAAGGAAGGCCACTCTCAGTGTGGCAGGTATGGTGCTGTGAAAACGAATGACGGGTCAGGTGCGCTTGCCAAGTGTAAACTGCCAACCAGCTGTCAACTGCTGATATGAGTTACAGTCTCATTGTAAGTGTTTAAACATTTCAAAATTCACTAAGACATCAGGATATGATGTTTCAACGGATGTTACTTCCACACATTTGGTGCTGTCCTAAAATAAGTAAGACATTCTTTATCTGTATAATATTGCTTAAATGTATGCATGAGAGAGACAGAGAGACGGAAAGACAGACAGACACAGAGAGAAACAGGGATAGACAGGCATGATGAAAATGAGATTGGCTTATATTATACAAATATAATCATTTAATTTTGCTTAATAATTTTATGTACTTTTCCAAAATTTTATTCTCAAATTTATTCATCCTTCATGCTGTTTACTTACATCATCAACTTAATCAATTAATTTAAATTGATTCTAAACTTAATAATTGGAAGAAAGTGAACAGATTCTCTAAGTATATTTTCTTTTTTCTTCAGTTTATTGGTTATTTTATTTATTTACATTTCAAATGTTTTTTCTCTTCTCAGTTTTCCCTCCACAAACCCCCTACCTCCTCCTCCCTCCCCCTGCCTCTATGAGAGTGCTCCCCTACCCGCCCAACCACTCCTGCCTCAGTGCCCTAGTGATCCCCTTATCCTGGGTCATTAAGCCTCCACAGGACAAAGGAGATCCCCTCTCATTGATGCCAGATAAGGCGGTCCTCTGCTACATATGCAGCTGGAGCCATGGGTCCCTCCATGTATAGTCTTTGGTTGGTGGTTTAGTCCCTAGGAGCTTTGATGGGGGAGTGCTTGGTTGATAGTGTTATTCTTCATATGGGGTTGCAAACGTCTTCAGCTCTTATAGTCCTTGCACTGACTCCTAACTCCTCCATTGGGGTCCCTGCTCTTAGTCCAATGTTTGGCTGTACATTTGCATCTGTATTGGTCTTGCTCTGGCAGAGCTTCTGTCTATGATGATAATAATAATCCCTTAGATCTCTAAATTGTTGCTATTCACTTTCTATCTTCACATTCCCTTGTTTTAATTCTTTTAATTTTTTATTGGTATGGCCTGGGAAACACCTATATTAGGCACTTAGTCACACTAGCAAAATAAGCAAATTGGAAAAGTACTTTTGAGAAATAACCAAATGCTCCTGTTTCTCCATTAAAAATTATCTAAATAGATTAATTTGGAAAACAGCCTATTTTTTTAATTCTTTAAAAATTATTGTTATTAATTACTATTATTAGTCATTTTCAAATCTCAAATTTTGCCCTTCATCCACCCTCTCAGAATTCTTTCTCTATCACTCCTCCCCTTTGTTTTTGAAAGGGTACCCTCCAGTCATCCTGCCAGCCTGGGGCCTCAAGTCTCTATAGGACTTGACACATCCTCTCCCCCCTGATGCCAGAAAAAGGCAGTCCTCTGCTACTTATGTGCCAGGAGCCTCAGAACAGCCTGTGTATGCTCTTTGATTGGTACCTTAGTCTCTGGGAGCTCCCATGGGTTCTTCTTAGTTGACACTGCTGGTCTTTCTATGGGGTTTCCATTCACTTTAGCTCCTTCAATCTTTCCCCTACTCTTCTGTAGGGTTCCCTGACATGTCCAGTGAGTGACTGTGAGTGACTGCATATTTCTCAGGTAGATGCTGGTAGAGCCTCTCAGAGGACAGCCATGTTAAGTTTTTCTAACATGCAGGGACAACATAGCACCAGTAGTAAGTAGTGTCATGAACTTTCACCAAGCATCTGGTAAATAAAGTTATTCATAAGTAGAAGATGTTTCTATCATTGCAGAAATGATGTGTAGAATGAAAGTGTTTCAACTATTATGTAAGGGTTATAACACAGTGGTTCCCTTGACGTTCTGATACAAAAACATTATGGCATTTAATAATTGGGAGTTTTGAGACCTTTCCTCAAGTTCAAGTTCCAATTATTCACAAGGCTCTTTTATATTTCTTACACTATGTTGTTTAATGCAATAAAGAACATATGGTGCTATTGTTCAATACTTGAATTGGCTATAGATTTTGAATTCCATCAGTATTATAGCTTCTCAAAGGAACAATGATATAAAGACAATATAAATTAAAACATAAGTTTAGAATAAAAAATTAATTTAACCACATATAACAAAAATTAAATAATATATTGTGATTTATCTTTATATTATTTTGGGTATTATACTCTATTTGTATTTATATTTCCTAAGTGAGTCTTTGTGCTTATCAGTTACAAGAAATGAAACTCTGTGCCTGTTGTACTTGCAATTATTTAACATGTTCACAATTATCAGAGCTTTATGGAGAACAATGTCTTTATTCCAATGTTACCCAAGGTAACTAAAGGCCTTTATTTTCTCTCCTGTAGTATTTATTTTAACTTATCATTAACTACATACTTATGTTCAAACTTCATAATGTTTCACATAAGATATCTGACAACAGAAAGTGCATATTTATTCTTGATGTATATAAACTATAGCAGTGTCATTTGGAGATGGTCAATAGATACTTGATTATTAAGTAAAGAAGTTGTTTTTGGCTATACTAATAATGTTGGTCTCAAAGAAAAGATCTTGTTACAATTTCTGACTTTTGCTATGAGTTAACTCATACCCTTAACACTTCTATTAGCAGAAAACTTACAAAATACATGATAGGAGTAGTTCCTCAAACAAAACAACATTTTAACAAATATTTACCTGTAAAGGAAACAGTTGAACCTTTTCCTAGGCAATTAGTTTACAAATATCTGTTGAAAATATCTCTCCTATATGTGATTTATTATTTCTCGTTCTATATTAATAATTTTAAACAGGAATTGAGCATGCAGGCTTGTGATCCAAACACTGGAGAGTAAAAGGTAGAAAAGTGTCCATTTTAAGTCAACATGGAGTATGTAATGAGTGCCAAGACCCCTAGGTTTCATAAGAACACCTGTCAAAACAAAATGAAACATAACGAAACAACAAACATTAGGTCACTCTTCAGTTTTGCCCTCATAACTATAAGCATTTAGTTAAAGAAATTGCCTCTTCATCTTTAAGACATGGGTTAAAATAATTTAGAATGGCTGAAGGGTGAAGTTAGAGCTGGGATAGGCAGGAGAATGGAGGTTGACCTGGTAAGAATTGGAGAATTGGGTGATAAATATGATCAAAATACATTGAATGCATACATAAACTTCCCAAATAATTAATAAAATGTATCTTCATTATCTGTGCCTCCTTTGTCAACAAATATTATAATATATAAATAATACAGAGAAGATTAGCTTGACCCTGTAAAATGATGACCTGAAAATTTATGAAGCATTTCATATTTTCAGTCAGCTTATAAAGATGCACGTATAGCTTGGTGAAATTTCCTCATTTGTGCTGACAATACTCCCTCTCAGTGTCTAGATCATCTAACAAGGAAATTCAATACAAAGCATGAGGATTCAACTTTTGAGTTGTTGGTCAGGATTGTATAAGAGTTTCCTTCACATTACAGGCTATTTCTATTGATTTTGGTTGTCCCCAAGGGGTGGAATATAAGTCTCTATTGCTGAAGACACAATCCCATCAAACACCTGGCTCCAAGGGCACTGGGCTAGAAATGACCTGAAAGTCTTGTTCCTAAAGAGCCATTTTCATGCTACATGAAGGAACCATGTAAACTTCCATAGGGGATATGAAACCAAGAGTACTACCAGCTATGGTGTCTATGAATCACAGTGACTGACATAGCACAACCACATTAAGGATTGTGTCCCATACCTTTGAGATAACCAACAGCCCTCTAATGAAATTTAAGACCTATTAAACAAAAGGGAAATCATGCTCGATAGTTGCGGTGGTAGTGAAGTCATTGATCTTGAAGGAGAACCCACAAATACTAGTTTACTAAACTAACTAAATTTTCTAATTCTACATTTAGTATTAAATTCTAAATAGGAAACTTCTCTTTCTCATGGCCAAAATCAGTACAGAATACCACATCCAATAAAAATGTAAAATTGTGAAGCTTGGTCTACAACATAACTCCCTATCTAAGACTCTAAGAACATTGCAGAAAATCTGAAGGTGCTAGAGGACTAGACAATATTCAGTGAAATTATGTTTTTGAGGGATGATAGAAGGCAAACAAGTACGACCCACCAATACAACTACTTAAGTATGAGCTGAACAAGGATAATAAAAGTATACATGATGTGGGGTAGAGGAGAAAAAGTCCACCAGTCATCAAAATTTTGTCAGATAGCTATAGGGAAATAGGAAATGTAAAGAACAAGAGAGCACTTGACTTCCTTTTTTCTAAACAAAAAATGGTCAGTCATGAAAATATATAAGCAAGCAACATGCAGACTAAGCAGATTATATCAATGTGTGGTGTGTGTGTGTGTGTGTGTGTGTGTGTGTGTGTTTGTGTGTGTGTGTGTGTGTGTATCACACATTTGTCAAAGCTGTATGTCAACTAAGATATATATAAAATTTATATTTCCTTGCAATATTTTTAGGAAAAATGTCACATCATATATAGAAATAGAGATTCTGGCATGACTATAAATTCTAAGATGTACAACATGGAAATAACACATAAACACAGATTTATAAAATATAATTTTATTTTATTTTTTTACTTTTTATATGTAATGGTGCTTAGCTGAATGTATGAATCTGCATCGAGAGCACATGCTTAGTGCACCTGGAAGCTAGAAGATGGCATTAGATTCTCTGGATCTGGCTTTACAGATGGCTGTGGCATTACAAATTCCAACCCAACATTCTGGTAGAGTAGCATGTGTTCTTAAATACCAAAACACTACTCTAGACACTGTTAAATTATATTTTAAATAGCAATGTTCCTTTATAATATCAAGTTCAGTAAACACTTTATAGTAGTCACAGAGGTCTAGTTAATAGTAGATAAAATCAGATAATTTTTTGTATCTATACCTATATACGTCAATGTCTGTGTGTGTGTGTGTGTGTGTGTCTGTGTGTGTGTGTATGTATGTATGTATGTATACATAATACATAATGTATACATAATGTATGTATGTATGTATATATGTATGTATGTATAAAATGATATAACAGTCTAATTTTGGGGATTTCTTTCTTTCCTAGGAAACTATGGAAAATACGGTACTCCAGTGAGTACCATGAGACTTGTGAAGAGATAAAGAAGTAGAAAACATAGCTAACTTTATTTAATGGATAAAATCTCATGGCTATAAACAGGAAAGAACCAAAGATTTGTGTATAATATGTATTCACTTCCAGTCTCAGAACTTGTTCACAAACTAAGATAAACTAGTAATTGCAGGCACTTAACATACGAAAAATATCATCACATTACATGAGGAAGTGTTCTCACACAATATATCTCAATTGACACATTTGTGTACTCTCATTCATTTCTAGTCCCTCATGCAGAAGAGGGACATAACAATAGCTAAAATCACCAAATACAGTCTTTTAAGTAAGTTTTGATAAGACCATTCATAACACAAGAAAAAGATAACAAATCAGAAGCAACAAAGCCTGAAGCAAATGAAAAACAAAATGCAAATAAAAAGCAAAATTCTAAGTTCACAGCATTCATGATTGATATAGCTTGTAATTTCTCACACATTAAAATGGTAAAGTAATGTAAATATGAAGTGAATCTCTTTAAAATTCTGACTTAGACATCATCATATATAGACTTAAAAGAAGCCTTAACTATATCAATCAAAGTGTATAAGTGTTTTCATTTCAAAGACTAAAATGATGGAAACATTTGGTCAATTAACAAGATACTTCAAAGATCATCTGTTCTCAATTGACATGATCTTTAATAAAATGATATGCAGATAATATCATCATTTTTAACAAAAATCCCAGAAATGTATATTTAATTTTTGTATTAAAGAATTAAATATAAAATAAAAGGCATAATCAGCACAATTAATATTTTTCTGTAAAATGGAACCCTAATAACTGAGCTTGAAAACTATGATCTGTGACTTGACCTCAGGAATAATGGAAGAAATTCTATCTGGAACAACAAGAATATTTAAGGAAATCAGGGGGATACAAATTAGAAAGTAAGATGTTAAAGAATCATGATTTGCAGATGATATGGTAGTACACATAAGTGATCCCAATAGTCTACTAGTGATGGCTAGAGCTGATATACAACTTCAGCTTTGTTGCTGGATGTAGATTAACTCAAAAAGTAGAAAGTAACCCTTGTATATAGAAGTAACAAACGGATTGAAAAAGAAGTCAGGGAAACAGCACCCTTCACAATAACAATGAAAAAAAATAAATTATCTTAGGGTAACATTGACCAACTAAGTAGAAAACTTGTATATCAAAACCTTCAAATGCATAAAAAAAGAAACTGACACAGTTATAAGAAAATGGAAAGATATATGATACTCATTGATCAGTAGAATTAACACAGTAAAAATAGCTATTTTTATCAAATGCATTCTTCATATTCAATGCAATACCTATCAAAATTGCCATAGAATTCTTTATAGATCTTGAAAAGCCAACAGTCAGTTTCATATGGAACAAATAAATAAATAAATAAATAAATAAATAAAAAACAAGATAGCTAAAATTGAAAGTATACGGGACAATAAAAGAACTTCTAGAGGTATTACCATTCTGGATTTGAAGCTTTATGCAAAGTTAAACTAATAAAAAACACATGGTATTGACATAAAAATAGACATGTTGATCACTGGAATTGAACCAAAGACCCAAGTGTATTTCCACACACTTATGGACACCTGGTTTTTTATATCAAGTGAGAAACACACACTGGAAAAATCAAATATCTATAACAATTTGTGGTGGTCTAATTGCATGTCTGTATTTAGAAGAATATAAATATATCTACATTTATCAGCCTGCACAAAACTCAAGTACAAATTTATCAAAGACCTTAACATAAAGCCAGACACACTGAACCTGATAGGAGAATAGCCTTGTAAATATTGGCACAGGAGACAACTTCCTATAGAGAACACTGATAGCACAGACACTAAGACCAACAATTAATAAATAGGGCCTCATGAAAGTAAAAAGCTTCTGTAAGGCAAAGGATGAACACAAGACAAAATGACAGTCTACAGAATGGGAAATTATTTTTTACCAACTCCACATCTGACAAAAAGCTCAAAGTGTGTGTATTTCTCTCTCTCTCTCTCTCTCTCTCTCTCTCTCTCTCTCTCTCTCTGTGTGTGTGTGTGTGTATGTATTCAATATTTATTCATTATATATATTTTCAATAAAGGAATCTCAAAGGGCCAAGAAACACTTAAAAATTGTTCAATATCCTTAACCATCAGGAAAATTCAAACTGAATTAACTTTGAGATTACATCTTACTCCTGTCAGAGTGGCTAGGATCAAATGACAGCTCATGCTGGTAAAGGTTTAGAGCAATCAGAAGACTACTCCATTGCTAGTGGGAATAAAAATGCATATAGGCACTATTAAAACAATATGGTGGTTCCTTAGAAAATTAAATCTATCTACTACAAGATCCTGCCATATAACTCCTGGACACATTCCCAAACGATGTTCCATCTTACCACAAGGACACTTATTCAACTATGTTCATAGTGGCTTTAGTTAAACTAGCCAGGAACTTCAAGCAACCTAGATGAAGAATGTGATACATTTACACAATGGAGTCTCACTCAGGTGTTAGAAAAAAATGATATCATGAAATTTGCAGGCAAATGGATGGAACTAACAAAAATCATTCCGAACAAGGTAGCCCAGACCCAGAAAGACAGCATGATACGTATTCACTTATAAGTGGATATTAGCTGTTAAGTAAAGGATAACTGAATTATAATCCACAGGCACTGAGACATTAGATAAGGAGGAGGTCTAGTGGGAGGATACATGAATCATCCAGGAAGAGAGATAGATTTTGTGAATGATTCTTACCAGGTGGGATGGGAACAGGAAGGACCAGGTAGGGCAGAGAGCAATAGAACAGGAGAGTATTGGGAGGTACAATTGGAATAGGTGTAAGTTTAGGGACAATGAGGAAACAGTGCAGTAGAAACTTCCTGGATTCTGTTAAAGTGACTCTAGCCAGGAATCCTAATAATAGAGGATATGGAACTTGAACTGATCATCTTTGATAACCAAACTAGACTTCTAGTGTTGGGACTACCTACCACTCACACTCTGTCATGTCTGCAAGATGTGCTGGCACAAGGATGGCTCTGAGCTGGTAGGAGTGGCCAACTAATGACTGGTCTAATTTGAAGCCCATGCCACGAAGGGAGCTTATACCTGGCATTGCATTGTTAACTAGGATCCAGA